TATTCCAGCACACGAGGAGTACATCCAATAACTTCTAGAGAGAACTAGGAAAAAAATACATACTATGCTGCAGTATAGGCTATTTGCTTACATAGTATTTTTTTTTTACTATTTGTTTTTGCTCTTGTAACTCTTACTTCTTGGATGTACTGCTTGTCACAGGAATTGACAGGTTGAAGAAAAAGAAAAATAAAAACTTATTATCAATATTTACTAAATACGATATTAGAAAAATCATCTTAAAAATGTTAGTAAGTGAAACTAGATTCTTGAATTAAGGAGTTGATAACATATAATAAATGTATTCCTATTTTATAGCGTCTATTATAAATAAATATATGATATAAAGATGGTTGTGTAACATTTCAATTCTGAGTTACTAAAACGTTTTAAAACTTAAAATTTTTTGCAATCACAATTAAAATTTTCAAATTCAATCTAATACAATTCAAAATACTAAATTCATAATTATTTTTAAGGGTAGGTTCTTGAAAACATAACCCAATAAAACTTTTTTACAAAAAAAATAGACTTTATAAAATTCTGGTTAAAAGTTTATCTTATCTCTCATATGTTTATCTATCACTTTATCTACATTTGGTCCTGTTAACGCAAATATTATATGATTTTTGTCACACGCAAATAAATATGAATGAGTTAACATAACAAACATCAAAACACTGATACAATATTTATATCTTAGTCATTTTCATGCATCTATAACTATGAATATAACAACAAATCATACATTCCTTTAAAAGGAATTATGATCAACTCATTAATTCTACATTATGCGGAATGTGAGGTGTCTTTCATGATGAATTTACCCACCTAATAAAAGTTATTTTATTACTTATTTACATCATACATTATGGGATTCGTGAACCCGTGATGTTCTTTGGTGTTGGACAACATTTGCTTTTGTTTACTGTATAAGCATATTTGTGAATATGATTGTGTTGTTTATTGTATATCACCGTGTTTAATATGTGATTTTATATGTGTATGCATGACATGAATTTTTGAAAATGGACAACCATAAGCACTTTGGTTGAACTTTAATGTGTAGCAAAACAACAGTTTTAAGTCGATTACATTATGGGATGAATCGATTAAAACTCGTGGGTTTGCACAAACTATTTTCAAGTGTGTGATGAACAAATCTTCGATTCCCGAAAACGGAGTCAAAAACTTGTTAACCCTCGGCAAGTGTAACCGAATCGTATCAAGTAATAAACCTGTTAAGACCAAGTATCGTTCTCCCAAAGGACTCACGGCCTAGACAATTGTGTGATTTTGTTGATTAATTAAGACCTGTGAACAAATTGTTGTAAGTTTCAAATGCAAAAGATTGAAAAGTAAATATGTATGCATGTGATGATCAATGGGCAACAAGAAACAAAACACATGAATTGAAATATATGGATGAATATGTTATTGGGGTTTATCAATTTCATCTTATTCACTCTTGTATTTAGGAATTCATCATTCTTTTCATTAATATTAATGTCACTTTCTAAATCACTTTAAACCCGATGTCTCGGTAAAGAAAGCCTATCCTTAATTATGAGTTCATACAATTCCTATAATCCCTAATAATTAATTCTGAAGCACAGAAGCTTAAAGGCAACCAACCATCATACTCCTATGTCTAGGTTTGTAATATACTGTTGGGAGAGATTCCCCAGATCTAGATTTCCCCGTATGTGTCCATATCGACAAAACTAATAATAATGACATCGAATGAGTTAAACAATGCATGCTTTGAGCAAAGAGGAAAAACCCTAACTATTAATGAAAGAAAGCATGCATCGTAAAAATGATCTTGAAGAACAAATTCCATACAAGAGAGTTTCTAAGGATTTACATTGATTCCCCAACAACAAAATAAATTTAGTTCACCAAATTCATGGTGAAACTAGATGAACAATGGAATGAAAGACTGAAAGAGATAGAAAAACCTGAGAAAGAGAAGAGGAGAGCCGTCACCATCTCCAATTCTACCCCCAAGGGGTAAAAAGTGTGTTTCTGCTTCGTTCCAGCCAAAGACACAAACCCTAGGTTAACTAAAACCTTATATACTATTCTAAAAAATACAGAAAAGTAGGCCCAAGCCCAGAAAAGTGCCGCTTAGCGGTAAATACCGCTCAGCGGTAATAATGCGTGACCACTTCTTCCCCTCAGCGGTGCCAACGGTTCTTTGCGAGTGTCGCTCAACGGTAATTTGCGAGTGCCGCTCAGCGTAATTTGCGCTTAGCGGTACTTGCGGTTTCTCTTCTTTTGCACTTTCTGTGTCCTTTTCTGATTCCATCTTTACCCCTTTTCACTTCTTTCATCAACAACTCTATTATTTCCAATAATTCAACAAAATCATGAGTTCAAGCTAATTTCTAAGTCATAAAGGCTGTAATTGAAGTCAATTTTAAGTATCATTAGCAAAATTCACCTTGCTCTTCTTTGTTTCATCAAGATTAACCAATCATTCTTTGGGACATGTCATATGATTCAAACATCTCGAATCCAAATACCACAAGTTTTCTTGAGAATTTAAGCTTTCTACAGAAGTAGTTACCATCAAAGTGAGAGGTTCTGAATCAGATTCTTCTTGAGTAATGCATACCTCCTTTCCTTGAAACCTCTTCTACTTTCCCTTATCGGCATAACACTCATAGGATTAGTGCCTATACTTATGACAATTAATGCATTCCACACTTCTCTTGTCTTTCTTGCTGTAATTTTTATCTAATATGCCATTCTTCTCCACTGTTGCAGATTCTTCTTGACCATCTTTGGTTTTATCATTCCTCAAATTCCCTTTTGTGTGTTTCCCTTTCCATTTTTTGAACTTCTTTCTCTCTTCGTTCCTAGAATAATGCACCTTCAGAGCTTGCTCATCATTCTTGATAGGATTTCTATCAAGCAGCCTCATCTCATAAGCCTTTAAGGAACTCTGAAGTTCCTTAATCTTTATTTTGCAATATCCCTCGATTCTGCAATTCCAACCACAATGTAATCAAATTTTTGTGGCAGTGATCTTCTCAATAATCATCATATCACTAATTGATTCTCCGCACCCTTTCATCTGATTTGTAATGGTTAGGATCTTGTTGAAGTAATCACCTACCCTATCACAGTCTTTCATTTGCAGAAGCTCATACTGTCTTCTTAAGGTCTGGAGCTTCACTTTCTTTATATTTTCTCCTCCTACATGACAACGCAAAAAAATATTTTAGGCTTCTCTCGTTGTAACTGCATTTTGAATTTTCTCAAAATGAGTATCATCCACGCACTGATGAATGATGAATAAGGCTTTGTTGTCTTTCCTCTTGACTCCAGCCTTCTGATCTTTTGAAGCACCAAGATTAGGCTCAAGTCCATTGGCTTCATCGACATCACTTACGTCCTGAAATCTGAATAACACTCTCATCTGCGTCCTCCACTTGTTCCAATTCTTCTCTGTGAGTATTGGAAGATTTGTTGTTGGAATGTCTAATCCCGACATGCTTCAAACACTTCAGCCTTGATCAAGAATTAAAATCTTGACATCGTTCTTGCTTCTTTGCTCCAACCACTTTGATCAGCCACATTGAATCGTGATTCTGAAGCTTCTCGGGTCCTCACTCGACCTGGCTCTAGATCCAATCTGATGGAACAAGAAACAACAGAGAGAAACAAGATGTTCTGAAGTGTATTCTGTATGTATTATATTTGGCAGCAGATACAGGTGTATATAAAAGAAAGGCAAAGTAACAGATGTATACCGTTGCATGTTGTGGTGGTGGCTTCACCTGTGATTATCGTACTTGTATGTGGAGTATTTGTTGTTACAGATATAGTTAAAGCGAAGTTGAGCAACGAGATATGTGAGATAATTATGGAGTTTTATTTTCAATACTAATAGTTTTGTAATGAGATTCTATAAATGCTTTATGGTTATCCTTGATTCATGAAGTTGACTAAATTCAATTATAATAGATAGAAGTTTTTAATTAATCTGTTTTCCGCAATGACATCAGAGTTAAGTTTTCAAAAGCTTTTGCAAACCTGTAACATTCCAAAATTTAAATGTTACATGGATAAGCCCGTGATCTAGGAGGAAGGAACAAAAGAAAATTGAAGAAAAGATCTTTATTAAGGTTCTTGAGATCTATTTTAAAAGTACTTCTTAAGATTCAAAATTATAAATTAATTAGGGCTTAAAAAACTTTTGATTCGGAAAATTTAATTAAGGCCCAATTAATTACAAATTGATATTTAATAAAAAGAAACCTAACTCTAATAAATTATTAATTATAATTAGACGAAAACTCTAATTTCTAATATAATTCTAATTATAATTAAATTGAAATCCCTAGTGTTAGTGTTGTGTTCTTTCACAATTTCCTCTTTTCATATTTAATTAAAGCTAATTCTGGCACGCACAAAAATTCTGTCACGTTGAAACCACACAAATTTCCATTTATTCATACCACTTATTAACATTCACATCTTATACAATTTATTCCATGTATGTACGAAAACAAGAAGTCATTATTTAATGGTGCTAAAACATTACTTTATGGTTACATATACATCTAAAACTCCTGAATTACCTAATTAAAGCATTTAATTATCTTTCAAAGCATTCAAAACTAAAATAATAATCACAAAGATCAATAATTAAAGAAGATTAATTTTTCATACCTTAACCCATTCCATTCAATCATAAATTATATGACCACTTAATCTATAAAAAAACTCTCATCAATCAAACTACACAATACCTTATTAACTCACGAAGATTTTAATAAAATATACTAGATCTTATTTATAAGTTCTACATTTTGTCACTTTTACACTCAAAATCGATTTGAAATTTCTATATTTTCTCTAATCTTACACCCAAAATCGATAAAAGCATAGTGAGTGAAAAAAATGTAAAAGTATAAAGAGGTAAAATCCTAATCCGAATAGTTGTTTTACCTTTACGTAATGTATGATTCAGTGTGTTAAAATCCATCGTTCGTTTAGTAACACTTGGGCTTTCGTTTTTCCGTTGGGTCAGAAGCCATGGCGAAGCGATCGTACAAGACGGAGTTGGGGTGCATAGCGTGCGATGAACTGGGCGAGCTCGGAGCGGGAAAACCTAACTGGCTGGTCGAAACCCCTCACCTCCTCTGCGCCATCGATACCCATTCCCTCCTCCTCGCCAACCGCTCCACCATCCTCCTCCTCTCATGGTCCGATAACTCCGCCGCCTCCCCGCCCCTCAAGATCCGACCCGACCTCTCCCCCATCGACGCAGAGTCAATTACCGCACTCGAGTGGCTCGCATTCGGAGACAACCGCGTCATTGTCGCCGGTACCTCCTCTGGGTATCTCCTGCTCTATTCTCTGCGGGGAGATTTGATTCATCGCCAGGTAATGTTTTTGCTGCCCCTTTCGGCGTCTTTTTTGCAGTGTGATTTTTAGGGAGAATTGTTTCGATTTGAGAACTGGAAGACGTGTGTTGTTCAGTTGGATCGATGTGATTGTTTGAATACAGCTAGGGGTCATGAATTGCAGTCGTAATCGTTGAAATTTATGTCGTAGTTTGTTTCTTTTTTATCAGCAAATTATGTCGTAGTTTGTTCTGTTTATGTTTGTAATTTGCACAAGTATCAATAATTGATTTTCTTACCAATGGATATTGATTGAGATCCAGATTAAATAGTAATATGGTATGACTAAATTAAAATATACAAGTAGAGGTAATTTCCACCTAACAACCCATTTCTGTCCGATGCTCAAATTAAAGCATTAAAGTTATGTCCTAAGCACGAATTCTAAAGATAAAATCAAAGTCTAACCTAGTTATTGGTCTTGGGACTAGTGGGTCACTTTATCAGAACATCCACAAATGTAGAGTCTTGAAAATTTTACGTTTGAGATGTGCAGTAGTAGTAATAGTGTGTTGAAGATTCACATTAAGTACTCATGTGGTCAAATTGAAGTATATAGTAAGGGAGACAAGTTGGGTTTTATAAATTAGTGTACATAAGTAGACTTTAAACATAACTTAATATCACAATACTGGTTTGTAAAGTGAAGTTTGCAACCATATATATTATGTAAATTGGCCCGACAATGAGTGGAACAAGGGACCTAACAAACAACAAATTTCACAAACTCTAACCCATGACTCTGAATTATGTATGGAGTGGATTTGATGTTTAACTCAACCTCACAAAATCGACTTGTAAAAAGTGAGGATTACACCCACATATATATTGTAAATTGGTCTTATTTCTAATCGATATGGGACTTCTAACAATTAGTTTTGTGGGATTAATTTTGGTCTTAAGGCAGAGTTATATATTCTTTATCCTTAGAAGTTTACCATGGCTCAGAGACTCTCGCCAAAGTGAGGAGGTGCACTTAGGGAAATGCACTCACAATGGTTGATTACAAAATCAATGGTTGTGAATTGTGATAAAATCAAGTTTATATTTGATAAATCTATAGTTAACTAGAATATCAACCATTTCTACATTCTAATTAATGTAATTTTGTTGTCTAAATTATATTTCCTAACCTTAACGGAGTCAAATCCTTAGTTTAGAGGACCAAAATCTTAGATTGGCTTCTCTAAAGTGAGGAGATGCATTTTGCAAGATCAAGTGTATTGACGACCATTTATTAGAAAATTAGTGCTTTAAGTGTGACAAAGTCAAACACATGTAGGTATTACAAATTCTAAAGTTATTTACAATTTTGACTGTTAATTTTCCTATGAATAACATGCACTGGTTGTTCTGCCTTCATCCATCCTCCTTTGTATAGAAGTAAAAAGTATTTTAATAATGGTATTTTTCTTGAAATGAACGATTGATTGTGAAAGTACTATGAATGACTGGTTAACTAATTATGACAGGAATTGGTGAATCACAAGTGAGTGAAGAGAGAAATAATTGTTCTAAGATAGGGGAAAAAATTATACTTTTGTGTGTTTGTGTTTCAAAAAATTTGTTTTTTTACCTTCCAGCATTTTCCAAAATATTTACCCCTTGAAACCTATGAGTTTCATAAATCAACAACGTATGGGCAAAAGACCAAACAAAACTAAATTTAAAATAGAAATTTTTGAGGTACAAATTTAAGATTGGCAAATATGTGAGGTGCATAGGTTTCATATCAATTTTCTTGTAGATGATTTATCCTGGACGAGTTTTAAAGTTAAGAGTTCGTGGAACAAAGAAAGATTTGATTCAAGATACCTCTTCAGAAGAGTTTTGTCTCATTATGCCAGGCGTAATTGCTCGTTTTGATGGTTCTGATGTTCAGGTAAACACTGGTTTCTGTATCTTGCCTTTTAGAACTTCACTGAAATAAAGTCTGTTGGAAAAGTAATTTTTTTCCTTTCTGGGTATTGGAATAGTTTATTTTATTAGGATGTCAATTTACAGACTGAATTTTGGACTGTGGTAGGTTGCTGATTATAGGTCTAATTGTAGGCTTTGCAATGTTGAAATGCAGAATATGCTGCAGAAATGGTTTGAAGAAGCACAGTCTCGATTTTGGGATCAAAAACCAAGGAGCCAAGATTCAGAGGATTTTGGAAATACTGATGTCAAAATTCCTTATCAGTTGTGGAATATTGGTAAGAATGGAACCTGTTCTGATGCAGCAATTACTGGCATAATGCCACCTCCACTAATGGAACAACAGGTAAATTCTCTTAACTGATTCCTTGTTGTGGTGGCAGGTTGGAAAACCTCCACCGGTTTCCACCATAGCGCCACCATAACTGACATAACTGAGTTTTGATAACACTGTTGTCTGCCATGGTAATGCTGATCATTTTATTTTCTTTTCATGAAATCCAGACTATAGATAGAAGTACACAAAGTGAGTGGGGAAAACTATCATCAAATCATTTAGTATCTCTTAGCATCATATAAGATTAGTGAAACGACATTTTTAGTGTCTTCCTTTTGTGGTACACATGTTCAGGTGTTATTAGGTTTTTAAAACTTTCTTTTTCCTTTTGGCAATATCACACTCATAGTATCACTTNAACGCAAAAAAATATTTTAGGCTTCTCTCGTTGTAACTGCATTTTGAATTTTCTCAAAATGAGTATCATCCACGCACTGATGAATGATGAATAAGGCTTTGTTGTCTTTCCTCTTGACTCCAGCCTTCTGATCTTTTGAAGCACCAAGATTAGGCTCAAGTCCATTGGCTTCATCGACATCACTTACGTCCTGAAATCTGAATAACACTCTCATCTGCGTCCTCCACTTGTTCCAATTCTTCTCTGTGAGTATTGGAAGATTTGTTGTTGGAATGTCTAATCCCGACATGCTTCAAACACTTCAGCCTTGATCAAGAATTAAAATCTTGACATCGTTCTTGCTTCTTTGCTCCAACCACTTTGATCAGCCACATTGAATCGTGATTCTGAAGCTTCTCGGGTCCTCACTCGACCTGGCTCTAGATCCAATCTGATGGAACAAGAAACAACAGAGAGAAACAAGATGTTCTGAAGTGTATTCTGTATGTATTATATTTGGCAGCAGATACAGGTGTATATAAAAGAAAGGCAAAGTAACAGATGTATACCGTTGCATGTTGTGGTGGTGGCTTCACCTGTGATTATCGTACTTGTATGTGGAGTATTTGTTGTTACAGATATAGTTAAAGCGAAGTTGAGCAACGAGATATGTGAGATAATTATGGAGTTTTATTTTCAATACTAATAGTTTTGTAATGAGATTCTATAAATGCTTTATGGTTATCCTTGATTCATGAAGTTGACTAAATTCAATTATAATAGATAGAAGTTTTTAATTAATCTGTTTTCCGCAATGACATCAGAGTTAAGTTTTCAAAAGCTTTTGCAAACCTGTAACATTCCAAAATTTAAATGTTACATGGATAAGCCCGTGATCTAGGAGGAAGGAACAAAAGAAAATTGAAGAAAAGATCTTTATTAAGGTTCTTGAGATCTATTTTAAAAGTACTTCTTAAGATTCAAAATTATAAATTAATTAGGGCTTAAAAAACTTTTGATTCGGAAAATTTAATTAAGGCCCAATTAATTACAAATTGATATTTAATAAAAAGAAACCTAACTCTAATAAATTATTAATTATAATTAGACGAAAACTCTAATTTCTAATATAATTCTAATTATAATTAAATTGAAATCCCTAGTGTTAGTGTTGTGTTCTTTCACAATTTCCTCTTTTCATATTTAATTAAAGCTAATTCTGGCACGCACAAAAATTCTGTCACGTTGAAACCACACAAATTTCCATTTATTCATACCACTTATTAACATTCACATCTTATACAATTTATTCCATGTATGTACGAAAACAAGAAGTCATTATTTAATGGTGCTAAAACATTACTTTATGGTTACATATACATCTAAAACTCCTGAATTACCTAATTAAAGCATTTAATTATCTTTCAAAGCATTCAAAACTAAAATAATAATCACAAAGATCAATAATTAAAGAAGATTAATTTTTCATACCTTAACCCATTCCATTCAATCATAAATTATATGACCACTTAATCTATAAAAAAACTCTCATCAATCAAACTACACAATACCTTATTAACTCACGAAGATTTTAATAAAATATACTAGATCTTATTTATAAGTTCTACATTTTGTCACTTTTACACTCAAAATCGATTTGAAATTTCTATATTTTCTCTAATCTTACACCCAAAATCGATAAAAGCATAGTGAGTGAAAAAAATGTAAAAGTATAAAGAGGTAAAATCCTAATCCGAATAGTTGTTTTACCTTTACGTAATGTATGATTCAGTGTGTTAAAATCCATCGTTCGTTTAGTAACACTTGGGCTTTCGTTTTTCCGTTGGGTCAGAAGCCATGGCGAAGCGATCGTACAAGACGGAGTTGGGGTGCATAGCGTGCGATGAACTGGGCGAGCTCGGAGCGGGAAAACCTAACTGGCTGGTCGAAACCCCTCACCTCCTCTGCGCCATCGATACCCATTCCCTCCTCCTCGCCAACCGCTCCACCATCCTCCTCCTCTCATGGTCCGATAACTCCGCCGCCTCCCCGCCCCTCAAGATCCGACCCGAACTCTCCCCCATCGACGCAGAGTCAATTACCGCACTCGAGTGGCTCGCATTCGGAGACAACCGCGTCATTGTCGCCGGTACCTCCTCTGGGTATCTCCTGCTCTATTCTCTGCGGGGAGATTTGATTCATCGCCAGGTAATGTTTTTGCTGCCCCTTTCGGCGTCTTTTTTGCAGTGTGATTTTTAGGGAGAATTGTTTCGATTTGAGAACTGGAAGACGTGTGTTGTTCAGTTGGATCGATGTGATTGTTTGAATACAGCTAGGGGTCATGAATTGCAGTCGTAATCGTTGAAATTTATGTCGTAGTTTGTTTCTTTTTTATCAGCAAATTATGTCGTAGTTTGTTCTGTTTATGTTTGTAATTTGCACAAGTATCAATAATTGATTTTCTTACCAATGGATATTGATTGAGATCCAGATTAAATAGTAATATGGTATGACTAAATTAAAATATACAAGTAGAGGTAATTTCCACCTAACAACCCATTTCTGTCCGATGCTCAAATTAAAGCATTAAAGTTATGTCCTAAGCACGAATTCTAAAGATAAAATCAAAGTCTAACCTAGTTATTGGTCTTGGGACTAGTGGGTCACTTTATCAGAACATCCACAAATGTAGAGTCTTGAAAATTTTACGTTTGAGATGTGCAGTAGTAGTAATAGTGTGTTGAAGATTCACATTAAGTACTCATGTGGTCAAATTGAAGTATATAGTAAGGGAGACAAGTTGGGTTTAATAAATTAGTGTACATAAGTAGACTTTAAACATAACTTAATATCACAATACTGGTTTGTAAAGTGAAGTTTGCAACCATATATATTATGTAAATTGGCCCGACAATGAGTGGAACAAGGGACCTAACAAACAACAAATTTCACAAACTCTAACCCATGACTCTGAATTATGTATGGAGTGGATTTGATGTTTAACTCAAACTCACAAAATCGACTTGTAAAAAGTGAGGATTACACCCACATATATATTGTAAATTGGTCTTATTTCTAATCGATATGGGACTTCTAACAATTAGTTTTGTAGGATTAATTTTGGTCTTAAGGCAGAGTTATATATTCTTTATCCTTAGAAGTTTACCATGGCTCAGAGACTCTCGCCAAAGTGAGGAGGTGCACTTAGGGAAATGCACTCACAATGGTTGATTACAAAATCAATGGTTGTGAATTGTGATAAAATCAAGTTTATATTTGATAAATCTATAGTTAACTAGAATATCAACCATTTCTACATTCTAATTAATGTAATTTTGTTGTCTAAATTATATTTCCTAACCTTAACGGAGTCAAATCCTTAGTTTAGAGGACCAAAATCTTAGATTGGCTTCTCTAAAGTGAGGAGATGCATTTTGCAAGATCAAGTGTATTGACGACCATTTATTAGAAAATTAGTGCTTTAAGTGTGACAAAGTCAAACACATGTAGGTATTACAAATTCTAAAGTTATTTACAATTTTGACTGTTAATTTTCCTATGAATAACATGCACTGGTTGTTCTGCCTTCATCCATCCTCCTTTGTATAGAAGTAAAAAGTATTTTAATAATGGTATTTTTCTTGAAATGAACGATTGATTGTGAAAGTACTATGAATGACTGGTTAACTAATTATGACAGGAATTGGTGAATCACAAGTGAGTGAAGAGAGAAATAATTGTTCTAAGATAGGGGAAAAAATTATACTTTTGTGTGTTTGTGTTTCAAAAAATTTGTTTTTTTACCTTCCAGCATTTTCCAAAATATTTACCCCTTGAAACCTATGAGTTTCATAAATCAACAACGTATGGGCAAAAGACCAAACAAAACTAAATTTAAAATAGAAATTTTTGAGGTACAAATTTAAGATTGGCAAATATGTGAGGTGCATAGGTTTCATATCAATTTTCTTGTAGATGATTTATCCTGGACGAGTTTTAAAGTTAAGAGTTCGTGGAACAAAGAAAGATTTGATTCAAGATACCTCTTCAGAAGAGTTTTGTCTCATTATGCCAGGCGTAATTGCTCGTTTTGATGGTTCTGATGTTCAGGTAAACACTGGTTTCTGTATCTTGCCTTTTAGAACTTCACTGAAATAAAGTCTGTTGGAAAAGTAATTTTTTTCCTTTCTGGGTATTGGAATAGTTTATTTTATTAGGATGTCAATTTACAGACTGAATTTTGGACTGTGGTAGGTTGCTGATTATAGGTCTAATTGTAGGCTTTGCAATGTTGAAATGCAGAATATGCTGCAGAAATGGTTTGAAAAAGCACAGTCTCGATTTTGGGATCAAAAACCAAGGAGCCAAGATTCAGAGGATTTTGGAAATACTGATGTCAAAATTCCTTATCAGTTGTGGAATATTGGTAAGAATGGAACCTGTTCTGATGCAGCAATTACTGGCATAATGCCACCTCCACTAATGGAACAACAGGTAAATTCTCTTAACTGATTCCTTGTTGTGGTGGCAGGTTGGAAAACCTCCACCGGTTTCCACCATAGCGCCACCATAACTGACATAACTGAGTTTTGATAACACTGTTGTCTGCCATGGTAATGCTGATCATTTTATTTTCTTTTCATGAAATCCAGACTATAGATAGAAGTACACAAAGTGAGTGGGGAAAACTATCATCAAATCATTTAGTATCTCTTAGCATCATATAAGATTAGTGAAACGACATTTTTAGTGTCTTCCTTTTGTGGTACACATGTTCAGGTGTTATTAGGTTTTAAAAAATTTCTTTTTCCTTTTGGCAATATCACACTCATAGTATCACTTTTGGCAATATTGTACTTTTAAAAATTGATACTAAATTTGGTGGTTGTCTTTCATTTCCTTGTATCATGTTACAGCGTGACTTTAGTTTCTTAGTTTTTGTCTTTTGTCATTCCATGATTATAATGATTGCGGTTTTGCTTAAACAGTAGATAATGGGAGCTTTCTGAAATTATTTCTGGTATTTGAATTCAGCTGCTTTTATTGTTGGGCAGTCAAGTCAACGTTATTATTGTGCAGTCGCTGTTGGAGAGGATGCTGTGATTTCAGCATACAGGTACTTGGTGGATTATTTGGTATAATTTTATGCTGCTTCTATATCAATATGTACTCTGACTTGATATGCTGTATGAAATCTTTTTTTGTCGTCATAGTAATAAGTATTATATTGACCTTGTTATTTGTTTTATCCCTTGGGAAGACTCTCTGAGAGCAAAGGGAGGTCTTTAGTGGGAGCTATCCTTTCGAAAGTTGTACCAGCAACATTCTCCACATTAAGTTCTTTCTCAAAGTTGATATGGCGGAGTGAACAGTCCCCTCCAAAGAAGTCTCCGAAGAAATCGGATCAGAAGCCACAACCTTTTGCACGAGGTAGGAGTAACACACATTTTAGCGCTTGTCTTATGTGATTATAACACAGGCTCCTGCAGATTATTATGTGTATAATAGAGATGATGGTCAATCCTAGTAAAAGGAAAATAAAATTATGTATTATCATGCTAAATAGGGTTGTTTTAGACAGTAGAAAAGTGGTGCTATGATATTTTAACTATAACTTGAAGAAAAGGACTTCCACTAGGAAATTTAGACTTGAATGTGACACTACTTGTGGCTTCCTCTGCTGAGAACCTCATGAGTGGAAAGGATACATTTTATTATCTTAACATGGAAAGGAATGCTTCTTGTATAGGTTCAAATTTCATTGCCTTCATATTGCATACCGCTTATCAGCTTATTATATTTCATTTTTATGTTATGTTCAATTATTGTCTGTTTATGGGAGCGGGTTGTAGGCTGGGAAGTGTGTTCTGCAATTAGAAACTTAAATGTATGTTGAAGGAAAACTCTGTAGAATAACCATTTTCATCACCT